CTGATTGGGTTAAGGAACAAAACCCATCTATTAGCTGCTTACAAGAAACACATATTTCCAACAAAGATGCATACAGACTGAAAGTGAAAGGCTGGAAAAAGATATACCATGCCAACAGAAATGAAAAAAGAGCAGGCATAGCCATCTTAATATCACACAACATAAACATTAACACAAAAACTGTTAAGAGAGACAAAGAGGGGCACTATATAGTGATTAAGGGATCAATTCAACAGGAAGATATAACGATTATCAATGTATGTGCACCTAATTGCAGGGCACCGGTTTATTTAAAAGATTTGTTAAGGGACTTAAAGGGAGACTTAGACCCCAATACAATAGTACTGGGGGACTTCAATACTCCACTCTCAGAAATAGACAGATCAACAGGACAGAAGATCAACAAGGATACAATAGATTTAAAGGACACTATTGCACAAATGGATCTAACAGATATCTACAGAACTTTTCATCCTACACATAAAGCATTTACATTCTTCTCAGCAGTACATGGAACCTTCTCTAGGACTGACCACATACCAGGCCATAAAAAAAGTCTCAGCAAATTCAAAAAATTAGAATCATACGATGTAGCTTCTCAGATCATAAAGGAAAGAAGTTGGAAATTAGCAACTCAGGAATCCATAGAGCATATGAAAACACATGGAAATTGAACAACATGCTCCTAAATGAACAATGGGTCATAATAGAAAACAAAAGAGAAATCAAAAATTTTCTGGAAGTAAATGAGGATAACAGCACAACATACCAAAACTTATGGGACGCAGCAAAAGCAGTGTTAAGAGGAAAGTTTATAACAATAGGTGCCTACATCAAGAAATTGTAAAGGCACCAAATAAATGAGCTTTCAATACATCTCAAGGATTTAGAAAAGCTGCAGCAAACCAGACCCAAATCTAGTAGAAGAAGAGAAATAATTAAAATCAGAGAAGAAATCAACAGGACTGAATTCAAAAAAAATTACAAAATATTAGGCAAACGAGGAGTTGGTTTTTTGAAAAAATAAACAAAATTGACACACCATTGGCCCAACTAACTAAAAAAAGAAAAGACCCAAATCAATAAAATCAGAGATGAAAAAGGAAACGTAACAACAGACACCACAGAAATAAAAAGAATCATCAGAAATTACTACAAGCATTTGTATGCCAGCAAACAGGGAAATCTATCAGAAATGGATAGATTCCTGGACACATGCAACCTACCTAAATTGAACCAGGAAGACATAAAAAACCTAAACAGACCCATAACTGAGACAGAAATTGAAACAGTAATAAAGGCCCTCCCAGAAAAGAAAAGCCTAGGACCACATGGATTCACTGCTGAATTCTACCAGACATTTAAAGAAGAACTAGCTCCAATTCTTCTCAAACTATTCAGAACAATCAAAAAAGAGGGAATCCTCCCAAATTCTTTCTAATTCCAAAGCCAGAAAAAGATGCAGCATGGAAAGAGAATTACAGACCAATATCCCTGATGAACATAGATGCAAAAATCCTCAATAAAATTCCGGCCAATAGAATGCAACAACACATCAGAAAGATCATCCACCCAGACCAAGCGGGATTTATCCCTGGTATGCAGGGATGATTCAGTGTTTGCAAAACAATCAATGTGATACACCACATTAACAGGCTGCAGAAGAAAAACCATTGATTATCTCAATAGATGCAGAAAAAGCATTTGATAAAATACAACACCCTTTCATGATGAAAACTCTAAACACCTGGATATGGAAGGAACATTCCTCAATACAATCAAAGCAATTTGTGAAAAACGCACGGCCAGCATCCTATTGAATGGGGAAAAGTTGGAAGCATTTCCACTGAGATCTGATATCAGAAACTGACATTTTGGAAGTACCACATATGAGAAAGCAATGTAATATTTGTTTTTCTGAGTCTGGCTTATCTCAGTTATTATGATAGCCTCCATTTTCACATATTTTGATATAAATATAGGATATAATTCCTTCTTAGGCTGAATAATATTTCATTGTATATATATATATACATGTTTATATATATTTATATATATGTATGTATATCATCTATCTTTATCCATTAATTTATTGTTAGGCATGTAGTAGGTTGATTCTATAAGGTATTATAAATACTGCAGCAATAAATATAGGAATTAGATAGGCTAAATTGATTTCCTCTCTATATATATTTAGAGTGGAATACCTGGTACATACAATATCTGTTCTTAGATTTTTGAGGATTACATTCACATTTTTAAATAATGACAAATTCTTGAGTTTATCTATTTTCAATAGTTTCTAAAACTTGCTAGTAAGAGACAGGAGGACATACATCTACATCTCCACTTCATGCAAAAAATATAAAGACACGCACCTACAGACATACACCTGCACACATGTGCTTCGCCTCACTCCATTTTCCAGAATGTTCATATCACACGTTCATTGTTTACACCACTTACAGTGTGTTGATCACACACAAGACAACTATTACCATGTTTCTCTTGTGCATTCTTGCTTTAAGTGTCTATTTAAATTCCCAACTTCGGGTGTTAGTTTTGAATTCTTGCATACGCTCATAGGTACTGCTAGTGTTAATGTTCTGACAACTTCAAATAACCCATTCTCTTTCATCCTCTGGGTTTCCCCCCTCACACCCACGTTATCCACCAGGTCCAATCAGAAGTGCTAGTTTCCAGGTCTGGTACCCATCACCCTCCCTCACCCTCGCAGCCTCCATCATGAGCTCCCCTGGTTCCTGGGCTCAGACGCTGCCACTTGTTTCAGATGTCTGCATGCAGCACAGCCTCTAATATCACTCTGAGAAACTGAAAGCAGAGCACAACTTGTTTGTCCATTTGCAGGTCTCAAAATATAAAAATACACAAGATGGGGCCAACACTGTGGTGCAGTGAGTATAGTTCCTGCCTACAATGCCAGCATCCCATATGGGAGCCGGTTCAAGTACAGGCTCTTCCATTTCCAATCCAGCTCCTTGCTGATGGCCTGGGAAAGCAGTGGAAGATGGCCCAAGTGCTTGGGTCCCTGCACCCACATGGGCGAATCGGATAAAACTCCTGGTTTCTGGCTTCAGATCAGCCCAGCTCCAGCAGTTGTGGCCATTTGGGAAGTGAACCAGTGGATGGATGATCTCTCTCCTCCTTTTCTATAGCTCTGACTTTCAAACAAAGAAATAAATGTTATTTAAAAGAAGAATACCCAATATGACAGCTACTTAAGGATTCTACTGCCACTCTGATACTCAATCTTTATCTCACTTGTCTCTGAAAGGCTTATTTAGCTTTTATGCCTAGTGTTCACAATTACATAACCCTTTGTCAGGGGTGGATAAATTTCATTCACTTTATGCCATTTGGTGAGAATTTTCATTTTCCATCTCATGCATTTTATGGACATTTACTGAGAATTTTCCATCTACATGGCCAAAACATGGAGGTCTTTTCACTGGTGCCATTCTTTCTCTACTGTTTACATAGGGCAGCTGGGTTACAGGAGCAAGACAGACAAAGTGGCTAAGGGCATCCACGTTCCAGGGGACTCTTTTTTTAAGATTTATTTTTCCTTTATTTATTTGAAAGACAGAGTTACAGAGACGTAGAGACAGAGAGTGAGAGAGGTCTTCCATTCCCTTGATTCACTCTCCAAATGGCTGCAATGGCCAGAGCTGTGATGATCCAAAGCCAGGAGTCAGGAGCTTCATCAAGGTCTCCCATGTGGTGCAGGGGCCTAAGTACTTGGACAATCTTGTATTTCTTACCCAGGCCATAGCAGAGAGCTGGACAGGAAGAGGAGCAACCAGGATGCCAGCACGGCAGGCTGGGGCTTTAACCCACTGTGCAACAGCGCCAGCTTTTGGGAGATTCTGATCTGTCCTGCACCTCCCTCCTTCCCTGGCTCTGACTGATGTCCTTATGCTGGATCTCTTAGGTTCAGTTTCTCTGGAGTACAAACCTCCCTTTCCTGTTGGAGACAACAGTTCTCAGAAAAATTGAGATGAGGATGGAACCAGGACAGGGAGAGCCTCCTATTTCCTGCTCCAATCTACTCTACCTACTTGAACAATGCCTTTTTCTCAATACTGAGACTTGTGGGAATGTAGGGACACAGACTGGTCACCTCATTCAGGACAAATCTTCCTATTAATGGCACTGAGGCAAGAGGTTCAATCTCCCTACACAACTGTATAAACCCCATCCTCTGCTCTTTGTGTTTTAGATGTACAGTAAGGTACTTCAACAGGAGCCATTGCAATCTCTAATTAATTTGTCAACATTTCAATGGGATTCTGAACCACAAAAGCATAATCTGTGTAGTTACAATGATGCATAGAAATAGAACCTGCTTAAAGGCAACTAAATCATTTTTAATTGTTTGTAAAAAAAAATAATAAACGTACATGCAAGCACTTTTCTGGGCTCAGATTCCTGGATTAATAAATTCCCTAGGCAGATGTACTCTTTAACTTGTGTACAATTTTCCTAAAAACTCAACTTTTTAAAGTGCTTTTTTAGACTGAATATATTCTCATGCCATCTCCTCAATAAATAAAAAATTGACCTTCCTGGACCCAGCAAAAATACAGTGCATTTCTAGAGTAATGAAAGATCTGTGAAAAAACCATATACCATTCAAACTATTAGATTCTTCATAAATGAAAGAAAGAAAAAAAAAATCCCAGGCCAGTTCATGACACCTGTGCCTGTTACATATCTTTCCATGAAGTCTAGACACCAACTGTCACCATCCCAGAGTTTTATGGCTATGCTACACCTCACATTGCCTGCACTGCCCCAAATATATATCCAGTTGTGCACATATCTCTCATTTTTATCCCTTCACCATATTTGCACAAATTACAGCTGGGGCACAAAAATTTGAATTATGAAGCTTCTCTAAAAGAAACAGGAGGGTTAACACCACCATTGGCTTCCCTACACCTGTTGATATCTGCCTTGTTCATTCATCATGAACATACCTATGACCTCTGGGTGCTTCATCAGGAGCAGGAGTCCATACCTCAGGGTGGTGCTTGTGGTCTCCATTCCAACAGCAAACACATCAGTCACTGTGGCCATCAGGTTTTCAACAGTAAATTCAGACTGTTGGTTATGCTTTTCCTAGAAATTATTTGAATATTTTATATTTTTATCTGCATATTTCATCACAATCAATCCACAATATCTCAGGCTTAATTAAGATAATCAAACTTACAAAGGGAAAACTGAAATATTAAAACTAAATCAAGTCTGTGAGAGCATTTGGAAAGCCAAGACACTGCAGCCAAAAGAATATTCTACATGAAGGTCCCTGTGAGTGAGATCCCAATGGAAAGAAGTGGCCATCAAAGAAGGATGTACTTTTCTTTAAAAGGTTAGAACTTCTACTTTGTTAATGGCCTTGTCTAAATACTGATGGAGTTCTGAATTTAATTGGCTTCCACAGTCTACGCAGCTCATATCAAGAACCTCAGGTGATCACTGAAGTCATACATAAGAGTGTTAATTGTTAAATTAACAACAGGAGACACTGTCCATTAACTCCCCAGCAGGACCTCTGTCTTCAAAAAGTTGTATTATATTATGAGAGTTAAATATGATAATTGGTCCCAGTGTTTTGTGTGTGTTTGTGCAAACTGTTGAAATCTTTACTTAATATAAAGTTGGTCTTCTATGTACAAACTTAATTGAAAATGAATCTTAATGAAGAATGGGACTGGGAAGGGGAGAGGGAGGAGAAGGAGCAGTGGGAGAGTGGACAGGAGGGTGTGTATGGTGGGAAGAATCACTATATTCCTAAAGTTGTACTTATGAAAATTGTATTCCTTAAAAAATTAATTAATTAATTTTAAAATAAAATTTTAAATATTTTTAAAAAACTAAATCAACTGGATGAAACTAGAGAACATGTTGGTAGGTGAAAGCAGTTACAAAGAGGACAAATACCACATATTTTCCCTCACTAATGGGAACTTTAAAAAAAAAAAAGAAAAAGAAAAAGTCCTTCATCTGAAGACAAAATGTTGATTACTAGAGGCTGGGAGGGGCGGGACAGATAAAAGAATTCTGGATTAAAGTTATAAGGGAAGCTGGGTGTGCTCCATTAATGGTGACAAGTATTTCACCCAAATACGGGAAATGTTAATAATAGGGAAAGATAGGTATAGCTTATAGATTGTGATTAACATATCACACCAATATAAAATGCTAATGACTGGGAAAGCTGAGTATGGGGTCATGAAAACTCTTTGACTACCTCAAAATTTTCATCTTGTAATTTAAAACTATTCTAAAATGGAAAGTTAAAAAACAACTGTAACAACTACATGGTATGACAGAGAATGTAGATCAACTAACCCAACCTTCATTTTATTTACCCATTATCTATTGATTATCTCAAAATTTCATTTCCAAGCCTCTCGTAAAGCCATATTAGCCATGCAACATATTTTTCACTTGATGTCACATGCTCTTTTCTCTCTCTAAATCAAAATACATATAAGTATATGAAGTGGAACTGGTAATGATGTCATTTTGACATGAGTATTTCAGCATCACTGGAAATGTACACTGACTAAGTGTGATGACAGAACGTATCAGGCACCTGACTCCATGCAGCTTCAGGTCTGTGGTACAAGTTCTGAACTAACCAACATGATTCCCTGAATGCCAGATAAACACACAATTTTTGAAACTATTGTTAATTGAGCATTACTTTACTGTTAGCCGATAAAATCTTGATTAATAGAAATGGATGAATTAGGGTCATATGTTGAAAATAGGATAGGCTAGAATCAAGACATTGCAATTTTCAGAGTTTGGCATCACACATAGTAGAGACTCCTTGGTTACATCCATCCATGCATGCTCTAAATAAACATTATTCTCAAATCAACTCACTGTGAGAGAAGTCCAAATAAGTCAAGAGACTCAGCATCCATGACAACTGAGAAAATATTCACATCAAACTGGTGGGAGATGCTCTGGAAAACTCAGATACTACCCACATCCCATGCACTGTGTCATACAATGCAAAAGGAATCCCCAAAGCTCAGTTTCTTCCAGACACAAGAATGTTTTGGATCACACATGAAATTCTCTAACTCAAATATTCTCTGTGGTTTTGGGTTTTTAGTCACCAACTCTGGGAGAACTGGTATACCTGACTGGGCCAGGACAAAGCCAGGAGCCAGGAGCCACTTCAAGGTCTCCTATGTGGTTTTAGGAGCCCAAACACTTGAGCCATCCTCTGCTGCCGACCCAGGTGCATTACCAGGGAACTGATTTAAAGTGGAGAACTGGGATTCGAACCTGCTACCATAAAGGATACCAGGACTGCAAGCCATGGCTTTACCCTCTATGTCACAATGCTGGCCCCTGGGTCATTTCTATACCTGTTCATATCAAAACTCCCCCTGCCAACATTCAGGCCTGCAAGTTACTTGACAGACACTTACAATGCCTTATCTGCCCAATTCATTTTTTCTTACAGTCATGTAAGACTGCTTTCCAACATTTGCCACCAAACACTTCAGAATCTCTCATTACAACCTCTTCCCACTTAAACCCCTTCTACTGCACCTCACTGCAAATATTTGAAGGTGAAAACCTACCTCAGGCATGCAGGAAGCCATTAGGTGAAACCCTTGCTTTTCATTCTTCCATGCACACTAACATAAGATTGGGTTCACATTAACCATATGGTTTGATACTTTCAATTTTCCAACTTCTTTGTTGTCCATAGTAACTAAGGGGGGCACTCTGTATTTCCTCAAGAAATTAATACCTAAAGCAGAGCCCATATATTCCAATTGTTTAGCATCTCAATTTTAACTCTCCCATGACCCTTAGTCAAGTTCCATACACACAAGGATACTTCAAGTGCTGGGCAAGTGTTTCTTCTCTGACCATTTGAACAACTTCTATAAGTACACAAATAGTCAATCAGCCACCAAATGCACATAAATAAACAACATTTTACCTGTTCCATTTTGATCAGGAAACAATCAGTGAAGTCTCAAGGGTTGGTAATGTCCAGAGATTCTTGGTGTTCTTTTATTTTCTCCAACACATAATTTTTTACATAAGTATTATTACTAATCATTTTTCTATGACTTCCTGGGAACAATCAAGAAGAATTAGAAAAGTAGTACAGATCATAAAATAAAAAAAAATTACTGAATTAAACATTTTTATTGAAAACATATACATAATACACCAGACTATGGTTTAAAATTATGTTTAAAAAAAACCTCTGTGACTGTAACATAATTATAAATATGTTATTACAAAAATTAAAAAGAAAGGAAGGAAGGAAGATAGAAGGAGGTGGAATTGAGGCAGAAAAATCATTATATTCTTATGATTGTATCACTAAACTACATGAAATATATTCTGGGGCACATTCCTAGATTATGTGATAATGTGAGATTTTTGTCGGTGTTATTAAAGAATAGAGGAGAATGTAATTTGAGAGACTACTTTGAAAAGTATAGAAATACTGAAATCATAGAAGTTATGCAGGTACATGGCACTGTGGTGCAGTGGGTTAAGCTGCCGCCTGCAGTGCTGTCATCCCCGATGAGCACTGGTTAGAAGCCCAGCTGCTCCACTTCCAATACAGCTCTCTGGTATGGCCTGGGAATGCAGAAGAAGATAGATCATGTCCTTGGGCCCTTGCACTGTGTTTGAGACCTGGAAGAAGCTCCTGGAACCTGGCTTCGGATTGACACAGCTCCAGATGTTGTGGCCAATTAGGGAGTGAACTAGCAGATGGAAGACCTCTCTCTCTCTCTCTCTCTCTCTCTCTGTGTGTGTGTGTGTGTGTGTGTGTGTCTGTCTGTCTGTCTGTCTCTGCCTCTCCTTCCCTGTGTGTAACTCTAACTTTCAATAAATAAATAAATCTTTTTTTAAAAAAAAAGAAGTTATTCAACATAGTAGAGTGGGGGGAAAAGTTTTGTATTTTCTAACAGTTGATAAAATTGTTGTTCAGAAATACCACTCTATTAGTGGGCATAGTTTTGAGGTGAAAAAAAAAAAAAAAAAAAAAAAAAACCCTTTCTAATCAAAAGCTGCAGGCTGCTGCCAGATCAACAAGGGCTGAGGAGCTGGGTCTGGCAACTTAATGGATCATGGAGGAAACTCTGGAGGTGGTGGATGTAATTTTGGCAGTGGTGGAAATTTTGGTGGAAGAGGAGGCTATGACATTGGGGTGGTGGCGGCAGAGAGGGTACAGAGGAGGTGATGGTGGACAGAAGGGATTTGGAGACCATGGAGGCAAGCGCGGTGCTGGTGCTGACGGCAGTAGCAGAAGAGGCTACTGGTTGTGGTGGACAGATACGGGGACAGATATGCTAGAGAAGGAGGATGTGAGGGTAAAATGAAGGAGGGAATTTTGGAGGTAACTATGGCGGTGGTGGGCACAACAATGGTTTTGGAAGTTCAAGATGATGCAGCAGTCAATCATGGGCCTATGATGGGGGCATTTTGAATGGAGAAGCTCAGGAAGTTCCTATGGTGGTGTTCATGGAGCTGGTGGTAGAATTTCTGGATATGGTAGCAGAAGATTCTTAAAAATAGGATGAAAGGGCTACAATTATGAACAGGACAGAGAGCAAAGAGTTATCAGGAAAGGAGCAGATAACTTGGAGGCTATCAGCCCAAATTCTATAGGAACTATACAAAAAATCTGTCACAGCAGGAACAATGACCAATATTTAGAAAAGCTACTGCAGCATGAACAGAAACCCTTCTTCTCCACGAAATCATAGCCACAACTTGTCAAAAGTGCAGCTGTTGATTAATACAATGTACTGTTGATTAGCTGTATATTCCTGAGGTTTTTCTACATGTAGTAGCTTTGTCATTTCTTTTTATTTTCATTGCATCAGGTATATTGCTCTGTAAATTGTGGTAGTGGTACCAGGAATAAAAAAAATAAGGAAAGTTTAATTTATTAAACAAAAAGAACAGATGAGTGAGCCTGGGGTGCAGTTTTGAGATGTCACTTGGACTACTTGAATACCATATTGTAGTGCCTGTGCTCAAGTAACAGATCAACTTCCAATTTCAGATCCCTCCTAGTGCATGCCCTGGGAGGCAGC